CACACGAATGTGAACATGGCCCTGCAGTTTTTCCTCATGAGTTTTAGGTTTAAAAAAAAAAGGAAGGGGGGATAGACAACCACAAAGAAGACATTTCAGAAAGGAAACAAGACAGAGAGAGGAACTAGGCCCTCTAACCTCCGTAGTTCAGTGCCCAGCCTGGCACATGTGCAAGGTAGTAAAGGAAGGGAAAATGGCTCTGAGGCCCTGCTGCCAAGAGGCGCTCTGGTTTGCTGGTTGCGGAAGTCCAGAGACTTGCTGGCAGGCCCAGCAGCTGACTGGGTGCAGAAGTGAGCAACCTGACTTCCACTGCAGCCTTCACATACACCACCAGCTAGAATGCTTAGCTCTGGAAGCAGTTGGGTTTAAACTTCATTTTTGGACCTAACCAACTCCTTATTCACAAGGATGTAGAGACTGGCCAGGTCCGTATCAGGAAGGCCTGTGTCTGAGGCTTTGCCTCTTTTTCCTTCCACTTGAGGTTCTTCATTCTATTGATTTTCACTGAAAAGTGAAGGATTTGAGGCTTCCTTGGGAGTCTAGGTTTTGGCAAATGTATTTTTTCACTTGGAATAGTGAGCCTTTCAGATAGATACCCTATAAAGAATACCTAGATACTAAGAAAGAATAAATACCAGTGATCCCTCCCAAATATCATAATGGGGACCAGACCCACATCCAAGCTTCTGGGTTTTATAAGGAGTGTCCTTGGGGCTTTAGGGTCCAGCTCACCTGACAGAAGCTTGAAAGGCATCAAATCATAATCCAAAACAATGGTGAACCCAATAGAGGTAGGAACCTAGGTATTTATGAACCCAGGTCACCTCTGGGTGACTAAAGATAGTTAACTTGAGTCCATGGACTTTCCCCCAAGGGAGCCTGTGATTTCCTGAAATTATCTGCAGTAGTCTCTGTGTGAAACTATTTCTTTAGGTATCTTGTAGCCTTGAGATTTTGAGCTTATGATGTCTGAAAGGTTAATATTCTGGCTTGTGAGCTTCTTGGCCACAAGGACAGTGTCTCACTGTCATGCAATGCAAGCATGCAATACAGGGACCCTGTACAATATATAGTGAATGACGGTCAAATGGATGGGTGAGCAGAGAGTCACTTGAGGCCCTTCCTTCTCAAGACTAAGTTGTTTTAAAATTGCTTAAGCTTTAAGACTTTTAGTATCAGTGTGGAACGCTTTTATTTCTATTGTTATTTATGAGAACTGCTTAAACTTGAAGATTTCTAGCATCAGAACAGAACTCCACATTTTTCTTGTATACATGAGACCTCTTGTTGGGAAGATAGCAGAGCTACAGTTTCCTGACTCTCAGCACCCCAGATCAAATGATTGTTTTTTTCCTACATTCCCACCAACTCTGCATACTCTGGTGGGGGGTGGGAATCATATGTGGTATCTAGAAGATTACCATGGAATTGCCCTTTGCATCACCAAGGCCAATCTTGGAAGACCCAAATTCTGAGGAAATAATGGCTCTAATCAATTGAATTTTCTTACTAGAGCAAGCTTTGTTATACTTTAGATTAAAAGTCTGTTTTTGTTTTTAAAGATTTATTTATTTTAGAGAGACAGTGTGTGTGCACGCAGATGGGGGCGAGGGCAGTGAGAGAGGGAGAGAGAATCCCAAGCAGACTCTGTGCTGAGCACGAGCCCAATGCGAGACTTGATCCCACGAGCCCGAGATCACGACCTGAGCCAAAACCAAAAGTTAGTTGCCCAACCGACTGCACCATGCAGGTGCCCCAAAAGTCTGTTTTAACAGTCTCAGGTCCCCTCTGAGTATTGGGGACATAATTTAACATATTGAATGTCTGTGGGTGTACAGATTATGAGAATAAGCAGTCTATATGGTGGTATAGTGAAATGTAGAAAATGTACTTGTTTTTATCAATTGTGTACTGTCATCTGGCCAAACTTATAACTTTTTGTTTGGCTTCTGAGCCTGGGATGGAGAAGTGGGAAGAGGGAGAGAGGTGGGAGGGAGGAAAGAGTGCTTGCATGCGTGCATTCTCTCTGTAGGGGAAGGTGGTGCCATCCAGTTAGAGGGCTTCTGAGGTTTGGGCACATCTGGGATGGCTCTGGTTAGGCTGCAGTCAGGTCGTGTCCTCTCATACATCTACATGCTCCAGTGCACATAGTGAAAGGGAAGGTCTTCATAGAACTGTGCTCAGCACACTTGAGTGACTGCCCTTCCCATGACTTTGAGCTATCCATCAGATGCTACGGCTAGAATAGTCTGATAGGACTGGAAAACAAGGGGGATGCCAAGGCACGTGTTGAAGGAACTCTGCCTTTGGCCACCTCTCCTTTTCCTCATTGAGCAGAACTCCTCCATGAGCTGTATATTTATGGCTCTTTACAAAACATGAAAAGTTTGAGTGAAAACCTTTGGAAACTAGTAGGAGAGGGAGGAATGGGCTCAGGCATGGGAACTTCAGTGTCTTAGAGTCGCTGTGGGGCCCTCCAGTAGCCTGTGTGGGAAGGAAGCTTCCGTTCTCAACCTCTCTGTTGAGACATATGCACAGATAAACCCCACCAGAATTTCTAGATCCTCAAGATTCCCTTTAGGGATATTCTCCTCTTTGCCTCCTGGGAGTTTCTTGCCATCAGAATTTTATATACCAAACCTTCCCCCCCACAGTAGAATTTGGGTACACTATAGATAAGAAGATGCAGGTAGATAAAAGTAATTACTTAAACACATATGGGGCAAGACTTACAGGTTTGGAGGCCCAGATTAAGATGCAGAGGAGCATGTGAGGTTGATGATTATATTTCGGGAAGAGTTAATTGATGGAAGGTGAAGGCAGACAAAGAACCTCTGCTTACTGCCTTCTTGAATCCCAATCAGGAATTATGATTAAAGTCGGGGCGAGACAACAGAGGGCTGATGAATTGGTGTCTTTTTTTTTTCTTTTTTGCCGTCATTCACACTTGATTGACTTCAACCTTTCAAGTGCAAAAGTCTCTCTTTTCCATTATTATTCATAGCCATCTGAGTTTTTCTAATTAAAGTGTATGAAAACAATTACTGATCCGTCGTACTGAGTCTGTTAGAGGGGATGTCTGCCTTACTGTAATGCGTATAAAAAGCCCACAGTTTTCTATAATGATGTGCAGCTGAGGTGTTAGATAATTTTATTCTTTTTTACTCTGTAGGGTTTTTTTTTTTATTTTTCATGATTCATTTTTCATAATTCCTAAAGATCCCTGGAAAGGACTGATCCTGCAGCTACAACCAAGAAAGGAGGTGGGGGGGGAGTCTTTTTTCCTTTCCCTTTCTCCCCCTCTTGCCCCCAACCTCGTGCTCCCCCTTGGCTGAGGACTATAAATTAATCGGTGACCTTTCACTTCTTGGATTCCCGCTGGACTTCCCAACCATACTGGTCAGAAGTGCTTTCTATTAAAAAGAAAATAGATGGAATGAGTTTGGCAATCTCTGCTCCATTCCTAACGATTCATCAACAGCTAGCCTTAACCAGCTGCCGACAAGCTTTGTGTGAGTGTGCAGATGTCTGTGAGTAGGAATTCTATGTCACGCACATTCACCTGCCATGCACCTGCTCTTCATAAACACGAGCTTTCTCAGAACCTTTCTCCATAGTGCCTGTGGCTTAATTTTTACCCCATAAGTGTCGCAGTTGCTGATATTATTCTAATACCCCTAAATGTATTGAGGAGTTAACGTTTTGGTGTTTATGGGGAAAGTTGTCTGGGTTTCCCCTAGCACTGGAGCCTGCCACTGACATTTCTAGGGAACATGTCATCAGCTATTAGGAGCAAGTCCAGGATCTTCCTTCAAACCATTAAAAATTAATAGTAATTTATTTAAAATATTTAATTTTGAACAGTAAACTAGGTGTTCCAATCTTTGCACCAGCAAGTACAGGTATTATTGAGATACCTGAGTTTCATGGGAAAATAATTCCTTCAGGTAGGGCTGGAAGCCATGTAGAAAGGTCAGTGGTGTGACTGTAGTTTCTGTTCAGTTCGTTTCTCAGGCTGTCATCAAACAGAGACCATTTCTAACTCATTTTGCAAGATCATCGCCTACTACTTTTCCACCCTATATCAGGCAAAGGGATATTACTTCTTTTTAAATGAAGAACCTTTTATCCTGACGTTGAATTTGAGGGCTGCTTATCATGTTAATGTGGGGCAAATGATAACTTCTTCAGACAGACTTCTAGCCAGATGTCAGAGAAGCCTAGAGAAAAATGTCTGAGGATCTGACCTGATCCAGGCTGATTCTGGGATTGCTATATTAGCAAACAATAGCCATGGTCAAGGTGGGGCTGCCCTGGTGTAGAATGCTGTGCACCTCAAGCAAAGACTCTAGAAGAAATCCTGGCTGAAGTGAGTCGTAAGAAATGCTGGCTTGCACTTGATCTAGCTTCTAAAGGGTTACAAAATGTTGTTTCCTGGAGAATCTGCCAGTGTGTCTGCGTGTCCTTAGCCTTCTCTTTGTTCTCTTCTTTTCTTCTCACCCTTTCCTTCACTCTCATTCCCCTCCTCTTCTTGCCTGAATACATTTTGAAAACAGTACTACAATGCTCCCTGCTTCAAGATTACAGTGTACTTTACTAGGTATGATTTAATTAGGGCCCTTATTATGTTTTCAGCAGCTTAAGGTGGGCCTTTCAACTTATCTACCTAATTGGTTGCACAAGAAGTTTCACAGCCCATGACAAAACATTGTCAGTGATCAAAGTCAAAATTCTGCATAAAGGAAAAATATTAATAATAAGATTATTCTTCAAGTGTGCACTGCTAATTATGTCCAGAATGTAACCGTAGAAATACTTTTGACTGATGTGAGCTTTGTCTAATAAACATGAATCTTCAGTGCGCTATGAAAAGTGACACTTCCCGCTTTAAATTGGTGAAGGCTAATTTTGCTTATTAAATAATTTTTACACATCTCCCTGTTTTGGGTCTCTTTCCTCTCCATTTGACTCTCCTCATTTCTCTGCCTCTTACTCCGCAGGTGACCACCCCTGAGATGGTGATGCCCAGCAGCATGTTCCTCCCAGCAGCTGTTCCAGATCGAGACGGAAACTCCACTTTGGAGGAGGCAGGAAAGCAGCCTGGTTAGTGTCATTCTTGACCCCTAGAAATGGAAACAAAATGAAATACTGGGCCACAATTTTCACTGAGCAGGAGTGCCAGGAATCTTTACAAAGTCCTCCTAAGATGAATGTAACTGATCAAGAGAAGAGGTGGCACTTTGGTCACCTAGTTCATACTCTGGCATGTATTTGTATACCATTCATATGGTTTAAAGTGGAAAGAAAATAAGGTGAGAACCAGTGGGATTTTGGTGGACCCATGTCCCCTTAGACTATACATTTAGGGAGTGAATAACCAGAGACTCAGGCAGTAGACCCATGACTCCCCAATCTCTCAGGACTTAATAATTAGGGACTTTTGGAGCATGTGAGGGATTTCAGAGCACTGGATTAGCGGTCTCTCAAACTTCCCTCTGCACAAAGTTGTTCTTTGAGTCTTCTGGGATTGCCTTAGGACCTTGCATAGAGGTGTACTTAGCACTGGGTGTCATACACAAACAATGAATCATGGAACACTACATCAAAAACCAAATGATATACTGTATGATGACTAAGATAATTTTTTAAAAAGGTGCATTTAGAAAGAACATTGTTTTAGACATGTGCTGGTGCCCTATGGCGGTTCCTAGTTTAGGTAGATGCGTCATTAGACGTCCACTTAGGAGGCTGTACTACATTGTTCACCTTTTGTCAGCAGCTAAGATTTAAGTTGGTAAGACCTCAGCCCCACTACTGCCCCACCTCCCCGCCTTGTGATTTTTCCCTATTAGAAGGTAGACAGCTGACTTTAAAAGGGTCAGAGTATGTATGGGTGTGATGCTGTCAATCACTGTAGAAAATAATTTTTATGTATTTTAATGGCCACTTGAATGTTCATTTCTTACTGAATAGAGAGGACAGTCAAAGGTAACGTTATAACAAATTAAGCTAAAAAACATATTCCAAAGTTTCTTATATTGCCAGAATTTCTTATATTACAATGGACAATAGTTATCTTAAATTCCCCACAATTTAGGATATAATTTATTCACATATTTTACAGTTCAGGTTCACGTAAAAGGGAAGTCCAGTCTAAGATCAGTAACATTCAAACCAGTTCTTGAGAAATTCAAGATTCTGAGTCAAGCAACTGAATGGTGTATAAAGACAGATCCAAGATATGATACAGGCCTATTATGAATGAAACTTTTGTATTTCTTTTTAGTCCCCTCTGTTCATGTGCACTTGCTTTAATATGTACTCTTTGCAGGGGCTGTGTGGAGAGAGTCTGTGTTCCAGTTGGGTATTTCCCTTACTGTAAGAGTCTGTGTTCACGAGGACTTACTAGGTAGATAGCTGTGGGTGCCATCCTTGAAACAAAGCCTTCTTTATCATTGGGCTTGGTTTTTTTTTTGTTTTGTTTTTTTTGTTTCTTTTTTAAATTACAGAAACCTCAGAGGATCTGGGAAAGAACATCTTGCCCTCTGTAAGCACAGAGCACAGTGGAGATTTGAAACCCTCTTCTGCTGACCCAGGCTCTGTGAGAGAAGATTCAGGCTTCCTATGCTGGAAGAAGGGGTGCAATCAGGTTTTCAAAACTTCTGCCACTCTTCAAACACACTTCAATGAGGTTCATGCCAAAAGGCCTCAGCTGCCTGTGTCAGATCGCCATGTGTACAAGTATCGCTGTAATCAATGCAGCCTGGCTTTCAAGACCATTGAAAAGCTGCAGCTCCATTCTCAGTACCATGTGATCAGAGCTGCCACAATGTGCTGTCTTTGTCAGCGTAGTTTCCGAACTTTTCAGGCTCTGAAGAAACACCTTGAGACAAGCCACCTGGAGTTGAGTGAGGCTGACATCCAACAGCTTTATGGTGGCCTTCTGGCCAATGGGGACCTCCTGGCAATGGGAGACCCTACCCTGGCAGAGGACCACACCATAATTGTTGAGGAAGACAAGGAGGAAGAGAGTGACTTAGAAGACAAACAGAGCCCAACGGGCAGTGACTCTGGGTCAGTACAAGAAGACTCAGGCTCAGAGCCAAAGAGAGCTCTACCTTTCAGAAAAGGCCCCAACTTCACCATGGAAAAATTTCTAGACCCTTCTCGCCCTTACAAGTGTACAGTCTGCAAGGAGTCTTTCACTCAAAAGAATATCCTGCTCGTGCACTACAATTCTGTCTCCCACCTGCATAAGTTGAAGAGAGCCCTTCAAGAATCGGCAACTGGTCAGCCAGAACCCACCAGCAGCCCAGACAACAAACCTTTCAAGTGTAACACTTGTAACGTGGCCTATAGCCAGAGTTCCACTTTAGAGATCCACATGCGGTCTGTGTTGCATCAAACCAAGGCCCGAGCAGCCAAGCTGGAGGCTGCAAGTGGCAGTAGCAATGGGACGGGGAACAGCAGCAGTGTCTCCCTGAGCTCCTCCACCCCAAGTCCTGTGAGCACCAGTGCCAGTAACACCTTTACCACCACCAACCCAAACAGTGCTGGCATCACTCCGAGTTCCAATCTACTGAGCCAAGTGCCCCCTGAAAGTGTAGGGATGCCAGCCCTGGGGAATCCCATCGGTGCCAACATCACTTCCCCTTCAGAGCCCAAGGAGGCCAATCGGAAGAAGCTGGCGGATATGATTGCATCCAGACAGCAGCAGCAGCAGCAGCAGCAGCAGCAGCAGCAAGCACAGACACTAGCCCAGGCCCAGGCTCAAGTTCAAGCTCACCTGCAGCAGGAGCTGCAGCAGCAAGCTGCCCTGATCCAGTCTCAGCTGTTCAACCCCGCCCTGCTTCCTCACTTCCCCATGACCACAGAGACCCTGCTGCAGCTGCAGCAGCAGCAGCATCTCCTCTTCCCCTTCTACATCCCCAGCGCAGAGTTCCAGCTCAACCCTGACGTGAGCTTGCCAGTGACCAGCGGGGCGCTGACACTGACGGGGACGGGCCCGGGCCTGCTAGACGATCTGAAGGCTCAGGTTCAGATCCCAACACAGAGCCACCAGCAGATCCTGCAGCAACAACAGCAAAGCCAGCTCTCTCTGTCCCAGACTCACTCTGCCCTTCTACAACCCAGCCAGCACTCCGAAAAGAAAAACAAATTGGTCATCAAAGAAAAGGAAAAAGAAAGCCAGAGAGAGAGGGACAGTGCCGAGGTGGGAGAGGGCAACCCAGGACCCAAGGAATCGCTGCCAGATGCCTTGAAGGCTAAAGAGAAGAAAGAATTGGCACCAGCGGCTAGTTCTGAGCCTTCCATGCTCCCACCACGCATCGCCTCAGATGCCAGAGGGAACGCCACCAAGGCCCTGCTGGAGAACTTTGGCTTTGAACTGGTCATTCAGTACAACGAAAACAAGCAGAAGGTGCAGAAGAAGAATGGGAAGACTGAGCAGGGAGAGAATTTGGAAAAGCTTGAGTGTGACTCCTGTGGCAAGTTGTTTTCTAACATCTTGATTTTAAAGAGTCATCAAGAGCACGTTCATCAAAACTACTTTCCCTTTAAACAGCTAGAGAGATTTGCTAAACAGTACCGTGAGCAGTACGATAAACTGTACCCCCTGAGGCCCCAGACCCCAGAGCCGCCGCCACCGCCTCCCCCGCCACCTCCTCCTCCCCCTCTTCCTGCAGCACCACCTCAGCCGGCTTCCACGCCAGCCATCCCTGCATCAGCCCCGCCCATCACTTCACCCACAATCGCACCCACCCAGCCATCCGTGCCACTCACCCAGCTCTCTATGCCCATGGAGCTGCCCATCTTCTCACCACTGATGATGCAGACGATGCCACTGCAGACCTTGCCGGCTCAGCTGCCCCCTCAGCTTGGACCTGTGGAGCCTCTGCCTGCGGACCTGGCCCAGCTATACCAGCACCAGCTCAATCCAAGCCTGCTCCAACAGCAGAACAAGAGGCCTCGCACCAGGATCACGGATGACCAGCTCCGGGTCCTGCGGCAATATTTTGACATTAACAACTCCCCCAGTGAAGAACAGATCAAAGAAATGGCAGACAAGTCTGGGTTGCCCCAGAAAGTGATCAAGCACTGGTTCAGAAACACCCTCTTCAAGGAGCGGCAGCGTAACAAGGATTCCCCTTACAACTTTAGCAATCCTCCCATCACCAGCCTGGAGGAGCTCAAGATAGACTCACGGCCCCCTTCGCCAGAACCTCAGAAGCAGGAGTACTGGGGAAGCAAGAGGTCTTCAAGAACAAGGTTTACTGACTATCAGCTGAGGGTCCTACAGGACTTCTTTGATGCCAATGCTTACCCAAAGGATGACGAATTTGAGCAACTCTCTAATTTACTAAACCTTCCAACCCGAGTCATAGTGGTGTGGTTTCAAAATGCCCGACAGAAGGCCAGGAAAAATTATGAGAATCAGGGGGAGGGCAAAGATGGAGAGCGGCGTGAGCTTACAAACGATAGGTATATTCGAACAAGCAACTTGAACTACCAGTGCAAAAAATGTAGCCTGGTGTTTCAGCGCATCTTTGATCTCATCAAGCATCAGAAGAAGCTGTGTTACAAGGATGAGGATGAGGAGGGGCAGGATGACAGCCAAAATGAGGATTCCATGGATGCCATGGAAATCCTGACACCCACCAGCTCCTCCTGCAGCACCCCAATGCCCTCACAGGCTTACAGCGCCCCAGCACCATCAGCCAACACAGCTTCCTCCGCTTTCTTACCGCTCACAGCGGAGCCTGATGAACTGGCCACTTTTAGTTCAAAAACAGAGGCAAGTGATGAGAAACCAAAGCAGGCTGAACCTCCCAGTGCACAGCCAAACCAAACCCAAGAAAAGCAAGGACAACCAAAGGCAGAGCTGCAGCAACAAGACCAGCCGGAGCAGAAGACAAACGCAGCCCAGCAAAAGCTCCCACAGCTCACTTCCCCCACTTCGTTACCACAGCCTCCTCCACAAGCACCCCCACCTCAGTGTCCCTTACCCCAGTCAAGCCCCAGTCCTTCTCAGCTCTCCCACCTGCCCCTCAAGCCCCTCCACACGTCGACTCCTCAACAGTTGGCAAACCTACCTCCTCAGCTAATCCCCTACCAGTGTGATCAATGTAAGTTGGCATTTCCATCATTTGAGCACTGGCAGGAGCATCAGCAGCTTCATTTCCTGAGTGCACAGAACCAGTTCATCCACCCCCAGTTTTTGGACAGGTCACTGGATATGCCTTTCATGCTGTTTGATCCTAGTAACCCACTCCTGGCGAGCCAGCTGCTCTCTGGGGCTATACCTCAGATTCCAGCCAGCTCGGCCACTTCTCCTTCAACTCCAACCTCCACAATGAACACTCTGAAGAGGAAGCTGGAGGAAAAGGCCAGTGCAAGCCCTGGAGAAAATGACAGTGGGACAGGAGGAGAAGAACCTCAGCGAGACAAGCGTTTGAGGACAACCATTACACCAGAACAGCTAGAAATTCTGTACCAGAAGTATCTGTTAGACTCCAATCCAACTCGAAAGATGTTGGATCACATCGCACACGAGGTGGGCTTGAAGAAACGTGTGGTCCAAGTTTGGTTTCAGAATACCCGAGCCCGGGAACGGAAAGGACAGTTCCGGGCTGTGGGTCCAGCGCAGGCGCACAGAAGATGCCCTTTTTGCAGAGCACTCTTCAAAGCCAAGACTGCCCTCGAGGCTCATATCCGGTCCCGTCATTGGCATGAGGCCAAGAGAGCTGGCTACAACCTAACTCTGTCTGCAATGCTCTTGGACTGTGATGGGGGACTCCAGATGAAAGGAGATATTTTTGATGGAGCCAGCTTTTCCCACCTACCCCCAAGCAGTAGTGATGGCCAAGGTGTCCCCCTCTCACCTGTGAGTAAAACCATGGACTTGTCTCCCCGAACTCTTCTTAGCCCTTCTTCCATCAAGGTGGAGGGAATTGAAGATTTTGAAAGCCCCTCCATGTCCTCAGTTAATCTGAACTTTGACCAAACTAAGCTGGACAATGACGACTGTTCCTCTGTCAACACAGCAATCACGGATACCACCACCGGAGACGAGGGCAATGCGGATAATGACAGTGCGACGGGAATAGCAACAGAAACCAAATCCTCTTCTGCACCCAATGAAGGGTTGACCAAAGCGGCCATGATGGCAATGTCTGAGTATGAAGATCGGTTGTCATCTGGTCTGGTCAGCCCAGCCCCAAGCTTTTACAGCAAGGAATACGACAATGAAGGTACAGTGGACTACAGTGAAACCTCGAGCCTTGCAGACCCCTGCTCCCCGAGTCCTGGTGCAAGCGGGTCAGCAGGCAAATCTGGAGACAGTGGGGATCGGCCAGGGCAGAAACGTTTTCGCACTCAAATGACCAATCTGCAGCTGAAAGTCCTCAAGTCATGCTTTAATGACTACAGGACGCCCACCATGCTAGAGTGTGAGGTCCTGGGCAATGATATTGGACTGCCAAAGAGAGTTGTTCAGGTCTGGTTCCAGAATGCCCGGGCAAAAGAAAAGAAGTCCAAGTTAAGCATGGCCAAGCATTTTGGTATAAACCAAACAAGTTACGAGGGGCCGAAAACAGAGTGCACTTTGTGTGGCATCAAGTACAGCGCTCGGTTGTCTGTACGTGACCATATCTTTTCCCAGCAGCATATCTCCAAAGTTAAGGACACCATTGGAAGCCAGTTGGATAAGGAGAAAGAATACTTTGACCCAGCCACAGTACGTCAGTTGATGGCTCAACAAGAGTTGGACCGGATTAAAAAGGCCAACGAGGTCCTCGGACTGGCAGCTCAGCAGCAAGGGATGTTTGACAATGCCCCTCTTCAGGCTCTTAACCTTCCTACAGCATATCCGGCGCTCCAGGGCATTCCTCCTGTGTTGCTCCCCGGCCTCAACAGCCCCTCCTTGCCGGGCTTTACTCCATCCAACACAGGTGGGTTCTGCTCTAGGTGATTCTTACAGCATTAAATAGCTGCCCAAATAGCATTTTGTTCTGTGGCTACCACCCAAATTCTCTGAATGTTGGGCAGATAGGTAGAAGCTTCCCTTTCCAGTTTTCTAACAGCAACAGAACTTCTGGTCCCTTTCACTGAGTCTCCCTAGTGCTGTGGTTCTATGACTTCCCAGTCTCAGGGATGGGACCTCCTGGTTGGAACAGTCTGCTATGAAATTATTCTCTTTGCCCTGTGTTCAGTAACACAACCAGGGTGCGTGCTATAGGGAAGAACTTGAGGGTCCTGGCATCCTAAATCCTGGGTTATTTTCAAGAAAAAGGCTTCTAGCATAGACCCTTCCAGTCAGTCTTTGTGAAATTGCCAATCCCATCTAGATAGTTGTTGAAAATAGAAGACATTTGAATATCCTAGCTAATTCTGGATCGTGCTTTATGGAAACTGGTTCAAGAGAACTTAAGTCCTTGTCCTTACCTGTGGTCCCTGTTCCTGTTTTTAGAGAGCTGTTCTGGCAGAACTGCTATCAGGAAGAAGCTCTCATACATGGATCCTTATTCCTGGGCTTCTTACCTAGCCAGAACAATAGTGGTTATACTAGTTTCATTATAATGAGACTACCTCTGTACTTGAATGCACTGGCCAGGAATCTTGTATTGGGCAATATGGTTCTGAATCTCAGACAGACAATAAACATTAATGCTCATTTTTAGGAGTCTTCATCACCCCTTCATTTCCCTTCACCCATCTCTCTCTCTTTGCCCCCCCACCCAGCCCCCTAATTCAGTCATATATACTTGGTACTCTTATTTTTCTATTATTAATAGGGAGTTTGATAGTTCTTCCTGTGTCCCTCTCTTGTTCCTCCTCTGTCCTCACCTGTCTTCTCTGTAGCCAGCTTTCTTTCCTAAATTGGACCTCTAGGATTCTGTGAAACTTAGGCATAAGTCAGCAAGATTCCACCCCCCCCCACCCCGCCCCAGGCCTCCATTGACCAGTGTACCTTTACCAAAGGAGAGCCCTTCAGAGTGCTTCCTTGCCTGAAAATGGGTCCCTGTTCCCAGGGGTTGAAGTGGTAAAAGCATTAAGATCTGTAAGTCATTGCTTATAGTTGTTGGCAAGTGAGGTCACAGAATTATGCTAAAGCCAACTAGACATAAGCCAAGAATCAAGCTATGGAAAGTGTCTAGGCACTGAATTACCCTTGCAGCCCAGAATCTTGGCAGAAGGGCTTGGGATGGCCCAACATTTCATAATATATGTGAAAAAAATTAGAATGTCTGATCTATTCCCCTTGTTTTACAGATGAGAAAACTGAGGGCCAGAGAGGTCAAGACCATTCAGCAAGCTAGGGTAGGAGCCAGAGCTCCCACCCAGGCCTCCAGGCTCCCAGTGCTATGTGCTCCTTCCACAACACCCAATATGAGCCAGTCAGTCAACAGGTATATGTTTAGTGCTACTCAGGTTCTGACCACTTGAGAGTGGACTCAAGATAGAAAGGTATGCTCTTAATTATTAGAGGCAGCCAGGGTTACCAGTGTGTCCCAGCTACCACCACCTGACTGTACCACAGCTCACAGGAGCACTGGATCTGGAATGGGGGAAGGAACTTGTATTTAATACGTCAGGTCCAATGGTAAGCTCTTTCCATATGACCTTCCATTTAGTCGCTACAACCATGTATTGTAGAAAGTTGAGGTTCCGTGGAGTCAGTGGGTCTAAGGCCACATAGCAGCTGTGTGTCAAACACAATCCATACTGCATCAGTCTGACTCCAGAGGTGCATGACAAGTATCAGGGCGATGAAATGCCTTGCTTGGTTCTAATCTTGCTGATGAGAAAACTGAGGCCACAGAATTATTCTGAGAATGTATTGAGCTACTATATCAAACATGGTTAGTACAGAGCTTGGTAAATATAGCAAGGATTCTGTAAATGATCCTTACCATTTCTTTCTCTTCTCAAGATACAGAAGTCAGTTTAAGGCCTTCTGACTGGGATCTTTCTCCTGAAAGCCTGATACCACAGAGATGGAAAAATCTCTAGATGTTTTTTCCTTGCCTTGCTGATCTTTTGGCTCCAACCTACAACTTGGAGCAGGCCTGTTGCCCAGATGTAGACAGAAAGAGCCATGTCCTAAGTTGTTGAATTCATAATCCATTCACTCTCCATCTTGTGCATGCCAGTTTAACCAATGAACCTTTACCGGCTTTTTCTAAGTCAGATACTACTTTCTGGTTTCAGATACTTTCCTTCTGTGCTTTGAGGAAATTAGATGACTTCACCTTAGTGGTCCCTGTCTGCTGTTTTGAGAGAGTAAATTAATGCTGCTGTACAAAACTAAGGGAAGCATCCCCTTGGCTTTCCAAACAATAATGGATATTTTTCTGGGATTGGCACCTTGAGGCAACCTTGTTCTCTTCATATGAAGTTTGAGGGTTTTTACATGCTGCACCAGTGTAATAAGCCAACATTGTCTTCACCCAGGTCTGGGCTTCTCTGTTTGTTTTCTCCTCACAGTGACAGTGTCATGTTATAGAACCCCCCAACCCCAGCTTTCTAGCAGAAGGTGGTCCAGATGAAATAGTGAGGAGCTATGGGATTTTTTAGTTTCATTTTGGTGCCCTCTGAAGAGAAGGGATGAATACGGTCCATTGTCTTAAGTGTAGTGAATGAAATGATCTGAGGTCTGCTGCCTGTGAATTCTTCTCAGCATCTCATCATTCAGCAAATCTGGTCTCTCTGTCCCACTTTGCTGTCCTCCACCACCACCACCTTGCTAGTCTTAATGCACCTGCCACTGGATGTACCAGGAGCAAGGCTGTCTGTCTTCCATCACCCTAGAACAAAAGACTCAAACCAGGAGAAAAATATGGGTATGGGAGGACATTAGGCTCTGGACTGGGTGAAGGCCTTATAGGCAGAGTGTGACTGCAGATGGAGCTGTACCCCCATGTGGGCCTGGTGACTTGGTTAAAGACCTTTGCTACCCATAAGTATGAGTAGGTTGCAGTGATGTCTCAGAAAGCAGTGGTACCAACACTTTGGGCCATTCCATTTTCTGATACTGCTTTTCGCCTCTTGCTGGGGGTGCGTTCTCAAGCAGCTGCAGTCTTTCTGTGTGTCATTCAAATGGATAGGAAGAGAGAATGCTCATTCTCCAGCAAACTTCAGAATCATCTTCCTAGATGGTTACATTTTTCAACAGATTTGTTAAAACAGATTAGCTGAGCCAAATAACGGGACAGTTTTCCCTGAATGGACTGTTTTTGTTCCCATCGCTCCTCCTCCTCTCTGTCCTCTTAACACATCCATTCAGTTGTAGCGGTGGAGGCCGGAGAGGCACATTTGTTTCTGCACATGGTCTTGGGGCTTGGCCAGGTTTCTTGCATTTTGCCCTCTTCTCCTGTTACCTCTCTCCTCTGCAACTTCTGGTGGGGCCTCTTAGCCACACTATTTCTGTGGAGCTTTGATGAAGGCCTTTGGTTCAAATGTCCCAGCAGGAAACAGCTAGGGGGGGGAACTGGGCAAAGAACATATGAATTAGTGGGTGTGGCATGTGTGGCAGGAAGGTGTTAGAAGTTGTTTAACTGAAAGGGGAAGTAGGGCAGCTGACCCAGGATTGGGCACTGATTAGAATACAAGGCTGTCCAACCCTGAGCCTGGTGAGACCCCTCTATGGAAAATGGTGGTTTTGAGAGGGTCTTTCAACTTTAAACCTTGAGATCTCAGACTTCATGCCAGTGACAGAAGCAAAACATCTTGAGCTTCAGCCTCACCACCCCCAGACTGACCTGTGGTTCTTTCTGTCTTCATTTTTTTCAGCTTTAACGTCTCCTAAACCGAACTTGATGGGTCTGCCCAGCACAACAGTTCCTTCCCCTGGCCTCCCCACATCTGGATTACCAAATAAACCGTCCTCAGCCTCGCTGAGCTCCCCGACCCCAGCACAAGCCACCATGGCGCTGGCCCCTCAGCAGCCCCCCCAACCCCAGCAGCAGCCACAGGTGCAGCCGCCGCCGCCCGCAGCTCAGCCCCCACCCGCGCCACAGCTCCCACCGCAACAGCAGCAACAGCAACGCAAGGACAAAGACAGTGAGAAGGTAAAGGAGAAGGAGAAGGCACACAAAGGGAAAGGGGAGCCTCTCCCTGTCCCCAAGAAGGAGAAAGGAGAGGCCCCCACAGCGGCCACAGCCACGATCTCAGCACCGCTGCCCACCATGGAGTATGCAGTGGACCCCGCACAGCTGCAGGCCCTGCAGGCAGCCTTGACTTCGGACCCCACAGCGTTGCTCACGAGCCAGTTCCTTCCTTACTTTGTACCAGGCTTCTCTCCTTACTATGCCCCCCAGATCCCTGGCGCCCTGCAGAGCGGGTACCTGCAGCCTATGTATGGCATGGAAGGCCTGTTCCCCTACAGCCCTGCGCTGTCGCAGGCCCTGATGGGGCTGTCCCCGGGCTCCCTACTGCAGCAGTACCAGCAATACCAGCAGAGTCTGCAGGAGGCGATCCAGCAGCAGCAGCAGCAGCGGCAACTCCAGCAGCAGCAGCAAAAAGTGCAGCAGCAGCCCAAAGCAAGCCAAACCCCAGTCCCCCAGGGGGCTGCTTCCCCAGACAAAGACCCTGCCAAAGAATCCCCCAAACCAGAAGAGCAGAAAAACGCACCCCGTGAGGTGTCCCCCCTCCTGCCAAAACCCCCCGAAGAGCCAGAAGCAGAAAGCAAAAGTGCGGACTCCCTCTACGACCCCTTCATTGTTCCAAAGGTGCAGTACAAGTTGGTCTGCCGCAAGTGCCAGGCGGGCTTCGGTGACGAGGAGGCGGCGAGGAGCCACCTGAAGTCCCTCTGCTTCTTCGGCCAGTCTGTGGTGAACCTGCAAGAGATGGTGCTTCACGTCCCCACGGGCAGCGGCGGCAGTGGCGGCGGCGGCGGCAGCGGCGGCGGCGGCGGGAGTGGCGGCGGCTCGTACCACTGCCTGGCGTGCGAGAGCGCGCTCTGTGGGGAGGAAGCTCTGAGTCAACATCTCGAGTCGGCCTTGCACAAACACAGAACAATCACGAGAGCAGCAAGAAACGCCAAAGAGCACCCTAGTTTATTACCTCACTCTGCCTGCTTCCCCGATCCTAGCACCGCATCTACCTCGCAGTCTGCCGCTCACTCAAACGACAGCCCCCCTCCCCCGTCGGCCGCCGCCCCCTCCTCGTCCTCCGCTTCCCCCCACGCCTCCAGGAAGTCTTGGCCGCAAGTGGTCTCCCGGGCTTCGGCCGCGAAGCCCCCTTCTTTTCCTCCTCTCTCCTCATCTTCAACGGTTACCTCAAGTTCATGCAGCACCTCAGGGGTTCAGCCCTCGATGCCAACAGACGACTATTCGGAGGAGTCTGACACGGATCTCAGCCAAAAGTCCGACGGACCGGCGAGCCCGGTGGAGGGTCCCAAAGACCCCAGCTGCCCCAAGGACAGTGGTCTGACCAGTGTAGGAACGGACACCTTCAGATTGTAAGCTTTGAAGATGAACAATACAAACAAATGAATTTAAATAAAAAGATTAATAACAAACCAATTTCAAAAATAGACTAACTGCAATTCCAAAGCTTCTAACCAAAAAAAAAAAAAAAAAAAAAAAAAAAAAAGAAAAAAAAGAAAAAGCGTGGGTTGTTTTCCCATATACCTATCTATGCCGGTGATTTTACATTCTTGTCTTTTCTTTTTTCTTTTAATATTAAAAAAAAAAACCTTAACCCTGTTACATTGTGTCCTTTTGAAGGTACTATTGGTCTGGGAAACAGAAGTCCGCAGGGCCTCCCTAATGTCTTTGGAGCTTAAACCCCTTGTATATTTGCCCCTTTTCAATAAACACCCCACGTTGATAGCACAGGAGGAGCCCGGCATGCACTGTATGGGAAAGCAGTCCACCTTGTTACAGTTTTAAATTTCTTGCTATCTTAGCATTCAGATACCAATGGCTTGCTAAAAGAAAAAAAAAGAAATGTAATGTCTTTTTATTCTCAGGTCAATCGCTCACACTTTGTTCTGTTTTCAGAATCATTGTTTTATAATATATTATTATTTTTTCAGTTTTTTTTTTTTTTGTTCCAGAAAAGATTTTTTGTTTTAATTTAAAAACGGGCAGAAAATATTTGAGAAAAACAATGTGAACTGCTTTAGCTTTCTGGGGATTTAAAGGATAGCTTTTCTGCTGAAGCCAATTTCAAGGGGAAAAGTTAAGCACTCCCACTTTCAGAAAAAAAAAAAAAAACCCACACACAGAGTGTTGAGGACTTGTAGCTTAAAAAAATAAGTTTTAAAAACTGACTTTCTGTATTTATGATAGATATGACCATTTTTGGTGTTGAGTAGATTGTTGCATTGGAAATGAACTGAAGCAGTATGGTAGATTTAAAAGGAAAAAAAAAAACCTTTTGTGTACATTTAGCTTTTTGTATGGTCCAGCTGACAGCTCCTCATTTGATGTTGTCTTGTTCATTCCTAGCAGATAGATTGCAATCCGTTGATTCGCCTAAGCTTTTCTCCCCTTTGTCCCTTAATTCCACTTTCTCTTTCCTCCTCCCACCCTATAATCTCCCACTTAAGGTAGCTGCCTTCATTTCTTAGAGGGTAGCTGCAGAATTATTTTATAAAACTAAAGAAAGAATTTCAAAAGTTTCTAGGGGTCATTAGGATCCTCACAGATTATTTTTGGTTGGGGAGTTAAAACTTTTTAAAGGCATATAATTCTAGTTACCTATGTCTGTAAGCCTTGTGCCATTTATTTTTTATTTATCCTTCCTTTAGCTTTTCTTTTTATCCTTTCTTTTCCTCCTTGTTTGGTAGATGCTTCAAATATTCTTTTCCTAAACTAAAGCATGTTTCGGTTTGTGTAATTGGGCTGTGTGCTTTTCTTTCTAAAAAAGTTTTTGGTTAGGGGTTTTGTTTTTGTTTTCTTTCCTCTCAGAAAAAGAAATTTCATGCTTTAAATAAAATCCAAAGACACACCCTTTCACTGCTGATGCAGAAAAAAGGGAAAGGGTTCTTGTTACTTGAGAATTTGTTTCTGATTTAAACAAACAAGACTTAGTTTAATAAAAGAAAGAGTAAAACAAAAGATTCCCAGGTTGTTATGTGCTTCTTCTGCAAGCAGAGAGGCAACTGTTAATGACAATTCCATATACCAAAAGACACATTTTTTACTTCAAAGTTTTGTCCTTGTGTTAGGCAGTCTGAGCGGCGAGTGATCCAGAGTGCAGCCAACAAAGAAGCAGATAGCAATGTACAGAGAGCAAAAAGGAACCGTATGTGAGGCACTTGTATTTATGTTAATATCTGTATTCCTGTAACACATAACACAACGCAACATACACCCTTTCTCATCTTAAAACAACGGTCTGAACTTTGAAAGGAAAACTTTGTGCTGCTAAAATGTAGATTTTGGAAACAAATAGATGCTTTGCTTTCACTTTCATAGCCAAACATCAACAGAAACAATCTCCCCTTGCCCCAAAAGTGTGAAATCCTTCTCCCCTTCGTTCTCTTCCTTATGTTTCAAAAGGGAACTTTGAAGACTGTGAATGCAGGTTCCATTGGTCATCTTTCAGGCTTCTTTCCCCAGTGCTGAAGCCACTCAACGACTTTGCAAAAGACTGGAGCATTCCAAGATCTGAAAATGGATTTTTTTTTTTTCTCTTCTTTTTTAGCCGGGACTGTTTTATTTTTATGAACTTCTTTTTGGTTTAATGAAAGAGTAGATCCTGAACTGTTGTATATATTTCTAACTAGGCTGATGCACAGTGCAAATTCCTTTTTTTTTTTAATTTTTTAAGTAGAAATACTAAAGAGTACCATCTAACTATTCATACCAGTATCCAGTTGTAGCATAAGGTGTCAAAAACAAGTACACAAAAACATTTGCTGTTTTAACAAGCTATTTCTTTTAACAAGAATTCTTGTATTTCTCCCTGTGTTTGAGATGAACATTTTTAAATTTTAAAGTTGTACAGTTTTTTGTTTTCCATTATTTTATCTTGTTTGTAACTCTATGAAATATATATATATTTTTTGCCATTTAACTGTTGTATGTTACTCTGTGTCTGTATCATATAGAAAAAAATTGTTTTTGTTTTTGGTTCTCTATGTGATACCAATTAACAATTTAACACTAGCTTTACCTGTCAAATTCTGCTAGGTTTTTTCTGAAAACTTTGTTTTTAAAAATGATATTGTTTGGTAATAGTGCAATTTCTATCCCTTTCCCTCCCCCCTCAACTTTAAGTTCATTTCCTTGTAATTTTGCCACCCCCTCCACAATGGTGTTTTGTTTATTTGTTTTGAGCTACTATGCCATCCTCCCTCTGTGAGGCAGAGTGACTGTCAGTGTTTTGTCATGCCATGCCTTGACCTGTGGGTGTATTTGGCAACAGCAAGGTGGTTGGGTAGATTGGCTAAGCATGCTTCCACCCACCAGTGTTTCTCAGAGGGGTTATGTGATTGTTTCATCCTGGAGTGGGTTGCACATTTGATGCTTTCCTCTACAACTCTACCACCCACATATATGTTCATTCAAAAAAGAAAAAAAGAATTCTCAGCATTAACTCAGCAGTAGCAAAGCAGTCAGTGATGGTGACAATTAGAGGTCAAATATGAGCTAGTTAGATGTTTGTGGGTTGACATCCACTATGGCTGTGACTGGTATCATTTACAAAGCATGAATTCACTTACAATGCTCAACTGTTTAGAATGGTCTCACCAGGCGAATTTAACTACTGTTGCATAGTACGTAGCTGAATAGGATATCTCAACTCACTTTTTAAATTAGTTCTTCACCTCTATTGACACTTCATATTTTGGTTGGTTGGTTGGTTTTTTTTTCAAATACTCCAAAGAGTGGGTTGGCGCTTGACACCATTCAGTCATGGCACCATATGAACCCACCGAATGGAACTTATTTCAAGCATCCTTCCTCCATCCTTCCAAAAAGGAACTTAAGAAGGAAACACACACACACACACGGAAAAGTTTAATAAATCTAGGAAGTTTTTTTTTTTAATTAAAAGCTATTTAAAGAGATGAATGTGGCCAAAGTTTTACATGATTGAAAATAAAGTAAAACAGACGGCATGTGTTTAAACCTGAGTTTATCAGGCATGGCAGGAAGTTGCAGGAGAGAGAGGCAGTGACCCAAGCCAGTGCACTTGATATTCATGGACATATATTTTTTTTAAATAAATTAAATTAAAACATTTTAAATAGAAGCATAAATTGAGTTGGTTGGTTGTTGGCGCTGAGATACTGCCCACTGTGAAACAAAGCTTTGACTAGTTTTTTTTGTTTGTTTACTTTCTTGGGGGGGAGGGGGGCAAGTTTGGGTAGGAAAGAAAGCATAAATGAACGTGACCCTGAGGTGAAGAGGTATATGAACAGCCTTTGCAATGTACAAAAAAACAAAAAACAAAAAAAACAAAAAAAAATAGAGCAAGTGAAACCAAAAATGATGTTCTTGGTGTTTTTCTATAATGTAGTCTTGTTAGCTTTTTTTGTTACTGTAACAATGCTGATCTCGAACTGTACCAAAATACATGGAGACTAACAGAACCACATGGAACTTTCAAACTGAAAAAAAAATTTGTCACAAAAACTTTGTTGTCATAGTTAAGTTGATTGTAGATGGTAATTGAATATACTCCTTTGAAAATATTTCATCAAGTATGTTTCCTGCTCATTGTGATACATTAAAAAAATATGAGCAAAAGTTCTTGTCTTATGCCCTCAGATTTTGTGTGTGTGCATGTATGAGAGAGAAAGAGATTGATACTGGCAAAGTGTAAATTTGAACAGTATCTTGAGGTTGCATGTACTTATTCCAAGGTACATAGCTCTTTAGTATTTCTAAGTGTCCTTGTACTTCCTATCTATCTCCTGGCGTTCATGAAAGTGCAGCAAGTTTTGGCATGAAAGTGCCGCAAGTTTTGGCTGTGGTGCTGACTAGCTTATTTCATTGAGAAGGGTAAGTCTGAGAGCTTGGGTAATACTTGACCCTCGAGAGCCTTAATAGTACCTGTATTTTTTTTTTTTTTCCAAATGTTTCTATGAGAATTGTGGACACTTGGCACAACCATGAGCAAGTAAGTTTTGCTGATGGCTGGAAGAGAGGTAAGTTAAACTTTTCTGAGGTGGGAATTGGATCCACTGTTTATGACAGAAGGATATGAAAGGTAAGTTGAATTAAGTGGGTGATTCACTACATTTACCTTTCCTATCAAAGGACTTTTCTAAACGCCTTTTAGAGCAGAATTTGAGATAAGAACAGTCTGCAAAACAGTAATAGCGTTAGTCATTCCTACATACAAGAGTCTTCTTATAAAAAAACTCTCTTACAGCACAAAATGCCTGAAATTCATTAATAAGAAGTATATCCAAGATCAGGCCCAAAGGCCTTCCATTCATCTTTAATTTAGAGCCACAGCTGATAATTTACAAAACTCTAGTAGCTGGGCTTGCACAGCATTGCAGGCTAGCTGTGTTTTGCAAGGTCTGTGGCATCTGCCCTTAGCCAAAAGGGGTCTTTTCTACCCCAGGAGTTAAGCTATGAAATCATCCTCTATTGGCTCTGACAGCCATTGTCAACCAAGTCTTT